GCCATCTTGAGCCCCGGCGCCACTCGAAGCCCGTAAGAGGCAATGCCGGCGCCCGCGGGCTCCTGCCCCCCTGAGGCCGTGGGGGGGCCGAGGCCGGCGGGGGCTGCGGCCCCCGAGCCGAGAGGACACAGGAGGGTGGGAGAAGGCCCTGGGAAGGGCTCTCCCTGCCAGCCCCGCTCCCGCCTGGGGAAGGGGCCAAAGCCATTGGGCCATGGCGTACTTAGGGTGCCTCTTGGTCTGAGGAACAACAGTATTCCGCCAGCTTTGGTGACTTTTATGCTTAAACCTGCTACACCTCGAGCTTGGACCCATGGCATAATGGCGAGGTGGGTGTGAACCACTCCTCGTGGCCCAGGGCTCACGGAGCTGGGAGGCAGCTAGTGAAAGGTGGAGGGTTGGGGAAGTGCCACAGGCTTCTTTAGCCCTGCCGCACACAGCCTGCACCCTCAGCCCGACCAGGGGCGTGAGGGGCGTACCCCACCCCCTGCTAATTCACAGGTACGGATCAGAGGGATATGTCCCCTCTCTCCCCTGTCAGGTAATCCTGTACTTGGAGAGAAATAGGAAGCAGGGCCCCTGTGTTTTCAACTCCACTGAGCTGAAAAAGGAAGCCAGTGATGTGGAAATTAGGTTAAACCGCCTAAGTAGGCAGCTTTCTGCACATAACTAATCTGGCTGCATATGCGCTCAAGCGAATTCCAGTCCAGTGGGTAACTCTGGGGCAAACCCAGGCTCCTCTGCTTGGTTTGCAGGCCAGGGTGGGAGAGAAGGGATGGAAAGTGAGAGGAAAACGAAGATGTGGAGGGGGATGTGAAACAATTCTCTACTGAAATGGAGGAGCAGGTCACCTGAGCTGAGGGCTGCACGTTAGGTCCTGAGTGAGACAAGGGGAGCAGCAGATAAGCAGCTGGACTCAGATGTCAGCTTTAAGACTGGCTGCGGCATCTAACTTACAGTGCAGGTATCACCACGCCCTTTGAGTAATCCATTGTTGTTCTCTAGAGCTGTTGCACAGGGGTGCATGAGCTTGATACTCTACCCGCAACACAGGCCAGGAACAGACCACTGGCCTGGCAACACATCTGTACTGGGATATGAGCAGCAGCTGCAAGCATCCAGCTGAGGTACAGGTGGTGGCTTTCAAAAAAAGAGCTACTGATCTCTAGGATCACATTAAATGGTGCAGCTGAGAACAGGATCCTATGTGTTGCAGGGCTGTGAGGTGCAGAGGCTGGATGTCAGAATGGTGGACAGGGAGGTGACCAAGAAAATACCAGCTGCTGATCCACACAGGTCAACTGAAAGACTGCACTCAGTCTCACCTTGGAGTTACCTCCCGGTGCTAATTAACCCATGCTTTGTTAAATGGGCTATTATTAGAGAGGTGCTTGGAGGTAAGCCCCTGGGAGATGTCCCAGTTCAATTGACAGCTGCAGCTCCAAAGCATTGATGAAGATGCCCTAGTGCTGGCATCCTCACTGCCTGTTGTCTGGAGCAAGAGCACATTGAGAAGACAAGCATCTTGCCTCCATTTATGTACATCAGGGAAAGTAGCACAGGACCTAAGCTTTGGCTCACTAAACCTAGTTAACGGCTATGCAGAGGAGAATTTGGCTGTGATATTTTGTGAAGAACTAGACACTGCTTCCTTTTCACATGCAGTTACCCAGCAGGTATGAGGAAGGTAGTTTATTGTTTACCTACTGGAAGCACAAGGAGTTGACTCTCTAGACTGATGCCATTAAGAGCCAACACTTTAAACAGAGAAAAAGAGTGGATGAGAAGCAGCTAGAGTGAGACTAGGTGCAGGAAGGAAAACAAATGGGAGAAGAAACAGCCTTCCTGTAACCCAAAACACAATTAAGATGACAATTATTGCAACAGGGATGGACTGTAAGAAGGATTGGACTCCCAGGTACTGCAGAGAAGAGGACAAGGTCATAGATGCTTTAATATAAATTTCATCTTCCTCTTTGTAATCTGGCAGCTTTGTATGTTTATTTCATATTGAATAAAAAGGGGCTTAAACATTTCTCACATAGCTACCCTTCCTCAAAAGGGAGTGTGATGGGGGGGAATTATTTCAGATTTGCTGCAAGGGAGGAGGGAGAAAATGATTTAGATTTGCTTTAAGAGCCACTGCAGGAAACAATGGCAGAGATAGTCCGGCATGATAGGGCTGCAAGGCTTGTCCTGATAACTAGAGGACTTGAGTAAGCACTGAGATGCCCTCCCACAAGGACTTTACTAAGGCTGCGTGCTCAGCATGCTCAGCATGCTCCCTGGAACTGCAGCACGGATGCATTTCCCCGCAAAAGCGCGTCCCTCTCTGTCAGCAAAATGAGATGCTGAAGCTCTCAGCCGAGTACTGAATTTCTGGCAACGTAGAACAGTTCAGCTTCCAGCTGCTGCTGCACAGAGAATTAATCAGAGCTGAAGAAATGGAGCAGAGCAAGCCCTACAGCTTCCGAGAGGGTGGTTGGTTGTCACCCTGGTCATCTGTCCTCAGCTGACATGGCACACAAGCTGGGCAGGGAAAGCATGAAGAGTTTTCTTGCTGCTCCCATGCTTTGAGTGAAAACACAGGGCACAGATCCATGCCTCTGATTTAGCCAAGTACTAGGGGCAGGAGGGGAGCACAGCTCTTCTTTGACAGTGTCCATAGATCAGCAGGGGTAGAGTTTAGCACAGAATTATTTTTTTTTTCTTGGCTGGACTTATTCTAGTGACAATTGTCTCTTTCTCCTTTGCTTCCCCCCTGCCTGTGCTTGGAGAGTTTGCACCAAGGGAAACAGACCCATTCTAGGCTGCCAGGGCAAGAAGTGCAAATTAGAAACCAACCTCCCATAGAGTAATAAAGAGGGAAATACCAGAGTCAGTATTACAAACTAACACTTCCATTTTGACAAGTTTGAAAGTAATAGAAATTCTAGGAGTTTAAAGTGGTTCAATTGGCCCAAAAAATGTGAAGATTACTAGCACAAATAATTACTTTGACTCTCCCAAATAACTTGCTCTGAGTGGTGGTCTTTCGCCAAAATCAGTTTCCCAAGGCAGTGGGGGAGAGAAGAGAGAATGTGTCTACTACACATGTGTTTTTTAGCAGATGAGGTTTTTGCTCTTGAAAGGGGAACAGATTATGAACTCAGGAATAAGCGGTGGAAAGTAGGTCTGTGACTGAAAATGCTCTACTCCTATCTGGTGACATTTTTATTGCAACTGAAGCCGATAATCTGTCTGACAACAATAGCTGGCACCATCTTCCTCTCTTTCCTTGCACCTTGGCACTAGTCCGAATGTCACTACAGCTGCATCCTCTCCCACTAATATAAGCAAAGGACCAAAGAATGTGGTTCTCGCATGCTATCTACCTTGTGCACAGCTAACTCATGGGCACACCAAAAAGGGGAAACATTTTTTTTTTTCAGTCAGAACATAAGGATGAACTTCTCTGAGGGTTGGTGGCTCCTCTCCCTCAATCATCCAGAACTCCAGGGAGAAAAAAGGTAAAAACCAGTTATCAGCAAACAGCTTTCCACTCTTGGACCAGTACAAGTTAGAGCAGTGAGGGAAGGCTATGAACTACTCAGTTGCGAGTTGCTGCAGTACAAGTAAGCCTAAGGCTGGGTTGCCTCTGCTTCCTCATCCTTACTGCATCAGTATCCTGGAGACAAATGTGCCAACTCTATTACCATTGCACACTCCCCCATTTCTCCCTTTGTTTAATGGAAACACTGTTTGCCAGAGACTCTCAAGGGTCCAGGAGTTCTTTCAGAAATAAGGCGTAGATGCAGCTTAAAAAGCCAGGCAGGACACAGGAGACTGTGCGTCTGGGGGCATAGGATGCTGCTCCTGCTCAGAGCAGCGAGGTGGAAGTCCCATGGCTGGGAGACATGAGAGCAAACTGCATGGGAGTGGGCTGAACCAGCCTCTTAATAGAAACGTCCACAGAATACCATGCATAAACATGCTGCCCCTGGAGTCAGAACTGCTGTCCCACAGAGCAACATTGGGCAGAAGAGTGATAAGAAAAGATGCTGTGAAAGTGTGGGGACAGATACATTTCTGACATATACAGAAGGGACAGTGAGGTGAGACAGCAGCTTGGACCAAATCAAAAGAAGTATCAGTGTGGAACCTGACAAGATAGAGCATGTAGTTAAACACTGTGCTGTTCCTGAAAGTGTCCAGAGAAACTAAAGTTCCTGTGTCTCTTGGCATACCTCAACATTTGAAGGAAGACAGCAGAAAACTGCAAAGAATCCTGCTTTGAGGCTAGGGCAGGACAGATAAAGGCATAGGGACCCAACCCAACAGCCCTCTCCCATTACACAAGTAGGCTCAAACATAAGACATCAGTCAGCACCAACATCAATTTAATTCTTCCCTCTTCAGGACAGGAACAGGGCAGATAACCCTGGAGTTACATCAGCAAGCGGAAAGAGGGGTAAGGGACAAACCATGCTGGGAAATCCCAGCTAAACATGCAGGCAGCAGAACTGCTCTACTCAAGACAGCCCAGACCTGGATGGGGGAAGAGCCTAGTTCTTCTGAGTCACTCAGGTGCAGTCCACTCAGCTGCCCAAAACTGCAACCCAAAGGACAGGTCCAGGAAAACAACACTAAGTCTTCTTCTTGCTGTTCTGTCCTGTTCCTAAGAGGCAGCGGGTTATTATGGCCCTATGCAGCCCCAAAAGTACTGAAGGAAGCAAGTCCAAGTCTGTGAAACTACAGGGTCAATGCAATGGCTTTTGCTGTTGTGTTCAATACAGCATTGGAAACAACTGGAATGTCTCGGGCAACTCTCTGAAAGGGTGGCATGTTGGGTCCTTCCAATGTGTCCAGGATACCTGCAGGGAACAAAAAAACGAGGAAAAAAAAAAAAAAAAAAAACAGCACATTTCTTCTTGCTTTTCTCTCTGGCCAGGTAGTGGTTGGTGGTGGCAGGGCCCAGGACATGCGAAGCACTTGCAGGTGATGGGAGAAGACATCTAGCCCCAAAGACTAAAGAGGAGTAAACGTCTCCATCCAGAGACCACAGGGTACAGATTAGAGCATGTCCTTGGGGCAGGGAAACTGTGCTCCGAAAAGAAGCAAAGATCCTTTCACTTTGAGGGTGCCACATCCAGTCCCCTGCCATTTGACACAAATGCAGAGACTGCTGCTCTGCCACAGCAGATTGATAAAATCCTCTCACCACCTCATCCCAGCACAGATCCTGCTCTTAGACCAATTGTTTGCTCTAATCCTGAGACATGCTTGCAGACTCACATTAGGAGCTGCAGCTGGGGGTGCAATGTGGATTTTTTTATCACTGCAATGCAAACATACAAGCATGCTTGGCAGGAAACAGGCATACCAATGCAAATGTCCTCCAGTCTCCGTCAATTACTCTCTCAAGACTGATAATCAGTCCTGGAGTGCTTTGAAGAAAACTGCTTGGAGTATATTTTATACTGTTTCATCGGCAGAAAAGTTGCAGATCATGACTCAGAACCTTCACCAGAAGAATGAATCCAGGAAAGAACAGTATTTACATCTAAAAGGAGTTGTAATGCTATGCTATAATCCCAAATTCTGCAGATTAATGTGAAATATCATGAACAGGTCTGGCTGTCTAAACTCATGAAGAGGCTTGCAGAATTGCATATTTAGAGATACAGAAGCTCTCTAGTGATGGGGTGGGAAAAGACTTTATTTTTTCCTAACAAAGACTCAAGCTCCTTACCAAAAAAAAAAAAAAGACACATACAGAAAGGGGACCTGAACATGTATGGCCTGGTAAACAGCACTGACGGGAAGATGTGGCTTCTGCTATCTGTGCTGTACTACACAAGATAAAAAGGTGTTACACAAAGAAGGAAAAAGACTTATGACACATTTCCTGATCAGAGAAAAGCAACCTGACTTTGGCAAGATTCAGGAAGGGACTGGACCTCTGCATGCAAGAACAGCCAGTGCTGTTATGCTTCATTTGGAGGGAGAGAGTAAGTGTCCTGCCTTACAACTTAGATCTTAAGTACTACAACTCAGCACACAGAAACTACCTCACATCTACCTGCTGTCCTGCTCTGACAGCTTCCTCTAATAAAGCTAGTGCTGATCACTCCTAGGTTGGAAACTGGCACAGATGCCCTCAGGTCAGATCCAAACTTTCTATCCTTTCTCTCAGAGAGAGCAAAAAGCAGTTCCTCTTCCCCCAGATCTAACAGAGTATATCTTCGTATCTCCCTTGCTTACCTTCTACCACCTTGTGATAAGCAAAGTGCAGGTAGAGGAGGAAAAGCATGTGCAGAGCAGCAAGGGTCCCGCACAGGATGAGCCGCTGGGTATGCCCCACAGTACGTGACACCAACACAGCAACCTAGGAGAGAGGTGGAGATCAGACACAAGGTAGCTGCTACCTGAGCCTCTGGCATTGCAGTCAGGAGCACACAGGAGGATGGACCAAGTAGTGAGAGCCAGTGGAAACAGTGCTTGGAGCCCTTTTTGCAGTTTGTGCCAACAAATTCAGAGTAATCTGACTTTGCTTCATGTAAGTGAACCTTGCCCACTCTCACCAAGAGTGCAGGATGCTCAGGCATGATTCCATAGCAGCAAAGGCCGTAACAGAGTAAAGCTCCTGCAGCTGTTAGAATGGGGGAGCATATTAATCTAAGCATCACCTCCATACATCAGTGGCAAATGATCCAGAAGCATCAGGCTATTCTTCACAGCAGCCTGACTGGCTGTGAAATGAACTTCCAGGCCCAAGGAACAGAAAACAAGCAACACTTCCCTCCCTTTTTTTTATCCCCAGAAGAGGAGGGCCCCAGGCTGCCCATTCCTTACCATTCGTAGTGTGGAGAGTCCACCAACACCCAACCAGAAGATATAGAAGAGGGAGTGGAAGTGGATATTATAAGTGACAAAGAGAGTGATGCAGTGTCCGAAAAGACCGTAGCCCTGACAAAACAAAAATATCCATGTTACAAGTGTCAGTCCCACACAAAGAGCTATTGATCAAGAGCATGAGCAGCCTATTCCTGCAACGCTTCACCAAGGCAAAGCTTTACAAATCACCATTCAGTGCCAAAGAGTCAACCAGCACGACCATTTTAACAGCAGCTCACACCCAGATCATCTGAAGGATTCACAGGGATGTCGGAGATTGCAACAACTTGGGAAACAGAGGAGAGAGCCTCTGATTCCAGAGAAATTGGCATCTCCTGTTTTTTGGTTGGAGGTTTTTGGTTTTTTTTACCACCAGGCTCTCAAATCAGGAAGTGCAGAGTAGGAGATCTGCACGAAGGAACTGCTTCTTTGTGTTATCGCTGCACCTGGGATGGGGCAGGTCAGAATAGCATCCTGGAATTCCAGGTTGTCCCAGTGCAGTTACCTGGTACCAAAAATTTACAAGGACTTTTCACATTCTCTGGGAAGAGCTTGTGATGGAACACTGTACAGCCAACCCACATCTTGGGGCAGCTCCATCTCTACGTACCAACAATGACAGCATCTGCACCATCGTGATTTGGGCATTGCATAGATATGCCAGGAAATAGATGAAAGAGGAGACGCCCAACCAGTAACCGAAGCAGGTGCCAATGGCTGTGCCCATCAGTGTGCCTTCCCTCTGTGGAGATAGCGTCAGGATGAGGAGGACTCAAAGAAGTGATCTGCCAGCACCCAATTTCCACCTCACATAGTCCCAGAGCCTTTCTAGGCATTATCAAATATCTGGCTTGTAGCGTTCAGGGTGCCACATAACCTACACCCCAGCTCTCCCAGCAGCAGAGCATCAAGACTTTCTTATGCGTCCTTCCTCCCATCCCCAAACCAACATGTTCTTCCTCAAATCAATCCACTTTTCAGCAAGATACTATTCAGTCATGGAAGAGATTTTCTGTTTATAGGACCATTATAACAATCCAGAGCCCATTCAAACCACAACTTATCACTGAGACTTGACATACGATGATGGTGTCTGAGGTCTTCATCCCATGCAAAAGGATGGCCACCAGTGTGAAAACCAGCATGAGGGGTCCATACAGCTCACCTGCAATCTTCTACATGAGGAGACAGATCAAGGAAGGTCTGGTTTAGTGCTCCCGAATGCCAGGGTCCCCACCCCGAGCGAAGCGAAAAGCGCCTTGGATGAAGTTTATCACCTTGCTGCCTGAGAAGTAACAGCAAGGCCAGTGCTGACAGGAGCCAGGCAGAATAGGTTGTGTGATGAGGAGTCTAGGATGTGTGAAGTCTAGAGATCTAGAACTGCTCCAGCACTAAAGACAGCACATTGAGGTTTGGAACCACCACAGGAAAGGGTTTACCAACATTTTCAGGGAGATGAGCACCTAACAAACTCATGTCCTTAATAATATGGACTACTTTAGTTTTACAAGGTGTCTGGGGGATATTCGCTTGGCCATGAAGTCTGATTAAGCACAAGGGAACTCACCTGTGGGAAATTAATCATCTTCACAGGAATCATGGACTCCAGCAGTCTGCATCACAGCGGAGCAGGGAATGACATCAGGAGCAGGAAGAACAACAGCATGGTTAACAAAGTGCTTCAAAAGTAAAAGATCCCACAGACCCATTAGCAGTGCTTTCTGCTGTGGTCACAGGCCTTGGGGAACAGAGATCAAAGGGTCACATAAGGTAACTAAAGGAGAAAAACCTTACTGTCAGGGGGTTAGCTTTGCTGGGGGTGGATTTAACGAAAACATTTAGGGATCCACTATAGAGATCACTGACAGAAAAACAGGAAGACACCCTTCTTCATACAGCCTCATAAAACTATCTTTTTGGACACAGCTCTGTTGCAAACCCAACAGAAGCCCCATAATGAAGCTGAATACTAAGAGGCTGAAGATGCCCCAAAGTCCTGTTTTCTGCCCTGAGCAGCAATGCTGGGTGACAGGGCTGCAAGCCCACCTGGGGGACCTCATTAAGGAGAGCAGGACAATGCAGAGTGTGTTTCCCCATATCTGAGCCTTCCGGCAAGGCTGGCAGCCCACCCCAGCTTGCTCGCTCAGAGAGGACTGCTAGCCTCCCGCTGGGGACGAGCTGCTGCCCACTCCCCCCGGTGGAGATGGCCCCGGCCCGGCCCTGCCCACCTGGCTCGCACTTGGATGGGCTCCACGTCGAAGTAGGGCCGGAGGATGTCGATGTTGGCGTAGAGGCTGAAGGCCCTGGAGGCTTGCCTCTTCCCCACCTGCCACATCTGCGGAAAGAAGGGAGCTGGCAGCGGCCGG